GCCACAGCCCTGCGGCGCGGCCATGGCCTGGCGGCGACCGGAAGCCACCACGCGGAGTCGCGGCGCGCTGGCGTTCCTGGCCCTGGCGCTGTGCGCGCCGGGGACCGGGGGCCGGGCGCTCGAGTGGTACTCGGCCCTGGTGAGCACGGCGTACGTGGACCTGCAGACGAACCTGACGGTGCGGAGCGTTTCGGAGAGCGGCCGCTTCGGCGACAACTCGCCCAAAGAGGGCGCACAGGGCCTGCTGGGCGCCCCGCGCGCGCCGGACGGCCACCCCGAGGGCTGCGCGCCGGACACCCGCTTCCACGTGCCCGCGCCTGGCGGCCAGGGTGCCGCGCCCTGGGTCGCTCTGGTGGCGCGCGGGGGCTGCACCTTCAAGGACAAGGTCTTGGTGGCGGCGCGGAGGAACGCCTCGGCCGTGGTGATCTACAACGAGGAGCGCTACGGGAACCTCACCGCGCCCATGTCCCACGCGGGTGAGTGCGGCCGGGGCGCGGGAGGTGAGGTGGGGGGACCTTTTCAGCGTGCCAATGGCCCACGGCCTTCTCGCTCTCCCATGTGATGCTGATCAGCAGGCTGCGAAGTGGGACGGGGCCGCGACTTTCCTGGACTTTGCTGTCAGAAGCTATTAAGGAAACACTAGATTTGCTCAGTGGCGTCCTCTGGCGTCCTGTTTGGGAAGAGAGGCAAGTCTACAGACTAGAATGGATGGATCTTCTTTCGTCGCTGAGGTGAAGGGAGATGGTTTCTGGAGCAGGGGAGTGGTGAGAACTAAAGAAATGAAAATCCGGAGGAGATGTGTGGTTCTAACCGGTGGCAAAGTCTCATGATTCCTAATCAGGGGCCCTCTCCATTCAGCGTTTCCCCAGTTGGGAGGGATAGAATGGAAGCCCTTCTCCAGCGCATGCCCGGATCGGCCTGTCCCGGTACCTCCTGGTGGCACTGTGATTTCTTAGCTTTCATAAAACATGTCCTGGTTGAATATTCTGAACTTCGAGTCAGAAAGCCTGAATTTTAATTTCGGGTGTGTTTTCTCACTTGCTAAATATAGGGTTGTGATACTGTCTTAACTCTGCCAGATTCCTTGACTCTTGAGTGTCGATGAAAATTTAAAAGTTATCTTGTCCATTCAAGAAAAGGGCTTGCTATTTGCCAGGCTGTGTGCTTCCTACACACGCACTCCCCAGGGCAGAAGCTTGCATCTTCAGGCAGTAATGGTAGTTTAAAGCCTTTCTTGTTTGGAAAAATGACATCCTTGGAACTGAATTGCAGATGAAATACCACCAGTACACAGCTGAGTGAGTGTATCGCAGGCAGTCCCCAGGTTACGGACGAGATCTGTTCCTAAGTCGGTTTTGAAGTCGAATTTGTAAGTAAATCCAGAACAGGTACATGTGGTTCTCATTTAGTGTCAGTCAAATGTTTGTCTTAGTATATGTTTTACCTTTCTGTGCGTGTAAAACACTTAAGAAACACTTCCAAATACACTAAAACATCTTAAACATAATAATACAGTAATAATAAAAGTACATACGGCACTATACTGAAGAGAGAATCGGTGTAGGTATACAGTACTATTAAAAAAAAATTCTTAAAAACAGTTTAGATAGAAAAGAAAAAAGATCATGATTAACACTTACTCTCGTTGCATGGGTGTCTTGCACACCGGAAGGGGCATTCGTGAGATGGCATCGTGATACCATTAATAATTGGATGATGCAGAAGATGGTGGGCTGGGGCTGGAGAGTCAGGGTTTGCTGCTGCTGCTGGAGATGGGAGGTTTAGTACCGGAGTCAGTTACTTGAAGTTGCATCAGGGGCGATTTCTGCAGAGCTTTTCTGGTTCTCGTCCTAAATGGCCCTGTAGCAGCTGAGGCCCTTGGTAACTGCGGTGAACTGTGGCGAACCTCTCTGTGTTGGGCTCTTGCTCCTCTAACTTTGCCATCCCTGCTTCAGTGAGACGAAAGGCTTCAGCTAACTCTTTCGTCAAAAACTTTGTCAGTTCTGGAGTTTTTAGGTCCTGGTCTCCTTCCTCAGATGCTGTCATCTGCTGCTCTGGTTCCGTCAGGTCTTCACTGGTCTGTTCTTTGGCATGGGAGTCGAGTAACTCTGTGACCTGCAGTTGATTACCAGTATCGACCACAGCTTGCCTGGCTTGGGAGATGTTGTTAGCTGTGAACTCCAGAGCATTGCAAAACATGCTCGTGTTTGTTATGAGGAACCGTTGTGTTTAATTCAGAATCTTAATGTAATAGGCTTTATGGCAGTCTGTTCTTGAGTAGGAGTTGTCCGTAAGTTGAATGTTCTTAACCCAGTGACTTCCTGTACTGTATGCCTTGTAGGGTACCATTAGCTTTGTGCATCCCACGAGTGACTCATGCTGAAATTGTTGTTATTAGGTGCGGTTGAGTTGGCAATGCTTTTCCATCGTCTCTGTCTGTCCGGTGAGGTATTTTGTATTTTATGTTGTAGAAAAAAAGTACTTGCAGTGCATAAGTCCTTGTTCTTGCAAAATTGTATCTTACGATCTCCAGCGTTGTTACCATCACCAAGGCCATATTTTCCAACTGCCGATCCTTCTTCTTTGTTCTGAAATTACCGTGATTAAAATCTCTTTAGAATTTCTGCTGCTCTAAGTCAGAAATCCTTTTTCCTGTGCTTCTGTTTTTGGTTTCACAGATGTAAGTTCTGAACCTAACAGTGTGTGTAAAACGAGGACAGAAAAGTGACATTGGATTTGGCCCATTTCAGAGTTGGGATGGGAGGTGAGGAAGTGGAGACAACTCGCAAAGAAATCTGACTAAAGGTTGGGGGAGGTATAGAGACATAGGGCAGAAAACGCAGGGGGAAGAGGGCAGAGTGGGAGATAGGAAGGCATATTTGAAATCTGATAGGAATGTCTGGTAGAGATCCAGGAGAGAGAAGAGATGACTGAAGGCTGGATCCAGGATACTCGTGGAGGGAGTGGCCTCATGTGGTAGAGGGACAGTTCCTCAGTTACAGTAAGAGAAAAGGGAGCAGATGGCCATGTGCTGGCGTTGGTCTAGGCACCACCTTTGCTGCAGTTGTCCCAGTGATTTCAAATCTACCTAATTGTCATTGTACCCGCGGCGTGTTTCCACAGGACTGTCATGAGAGGTCATGTCGTATTTCAGGTAACATTCCCGATACATCGTATCGACAGTGTTTCCCCAGTTTAGTACTGTCCAAGAGAAGAGGTTAGTGTGTTGTGATTCTCTGATGCTGGGCCCTTGTAATCACCTCTTGGTGCACATACATCTTAATGGAGACTTCTTCTTTGAAATAGCAGGCTCATCGATCTACAGTTTCCTAAATCTACTCATGCATTTTTTTTATGACATTTGTATATTTCTAGGCTATTATTAATAAGGAGTTCTGGTGGCACAAAAGGTTAAGTGCCTACTTGCCAGCAGAAAGGTTGGTGATTTGAACCCACGTAGCCGCTCTGTGGGAGAAGGATCTGGCGATCTGCTTCTGTAAAGATGGCAGCCAAGAAAACCCTCTGTCACATGGGTTGATATGAGTCGAAATCAACTCAACGGAACCTAATAACCACAGGCTAATGGCACTTATTCTAAGCATGGTTCGGCAATCTTGCTTGCTTATGTTATTGACATATAGTTCATCTGGACCCAGACAAGTTAACTCATGTTAGTTTTAAACCCTCTTCTTGTGAACTTCTGTTCCCATTATCAATGGCCATTCTCACCTTTTTAGCTGGAGTATAATTGTTTGAGAGAAAAGACAGGGAGCTGGCGATTTTTTTAAATGAGTAACTGTGCCCAGCACATGGCTGCTGTGCTCAGACAGCGTTGTGCATACCATGGCTCACTTCATTCTCCTGACAACCCTTTAAGGTGGGTACTCTCACCTCATTTTACAGATGAGGAAACTCAAAGAGTTTAAATGACTGGCCCAAGATGACAAACATAATAACAAATGAAGCCATGCTTCAGAGCCAGGTTTTTCTGAGGTTCTCTGAACTCTGAGTGAGTTTCTGCTCTTTCTCACACTGCGAGTTGTCTCCAGGTAAGAGTCAGGGAGCCCACCTTTTCATTGCTGTCTGCCCACAGTGTACCTTCAGCTTCAGGCGGTAGAATTAACCTTTCTTCCTCGATCTTTCTGTTGCTGTCGTTAGGTGCCGTCAAGTCAGTTCTGACTCACAGTGACCCTGTGTACAGCAGAACGAAACCCTGCCTGGTCCTGCGCCATCCTCACAATCCTTGTTATGCTTGAGCCCATTGTTGCAGCCACTGTGTCAGTCCATCTCATTGAGGGTCTTCCTCTTTTTCACTGACCCTCTACCTTACCAAGCATGATGTCCTTCTCCAGGGACTGGTCTCTCCGGATAACATGTCCAAAGTATGTGAGACGTAGTCTCGCCATCCTTGCTTCTAAGGAGCATTCTGGTTGTACTTCTTCCAAGACAGATTTGTTCATTATTTTGGCAGTCCATGTGCTTTTCTAACACCATAATTCAAAGGTGTCAATTCTTCTTCTGTCTTCCTTATTCATAGTCTAGTTTCTGCATGCATGTGAGTCGATTGAAAACACTGTGGCTTGAGTCAGGCACACCTTAGTTTTCAAGGTGACATCTTTGCTTTTTAACACTTGAAAGAGGTCTTTTGCAGCACATTTACCCAGTGCAGTGCATCGTTTGATTTCTTGACTGCTGCTTCCGTGGGTGTTGCTTGTGGATCCAAGTAAAATGAAATTCTTGACAACTTCAATCTTTTCCCCATTTATCATGATGTTGCTTATTGGTTCAGTTGTGAGGATTTCTGTTTTATGTTGAGGTGTAATCCACAATGAAGGCTGTGGTCTTTGATCTGCATCAATAAGTGCTTCAAGTCCTCTTCACTGTTAGCAAGCAAAGTTGTGTTACTTGCATAACTCAGGTTGTTAACGAGTCTTCCTCTGATCCTGATGCCCTGTTCTTCTTCATATAGTCCAGCTTCTCGGGTTATTTGCTCAGCATACAGATTGAGTAGGTATAGTGAAAGAATACAACCCTGACACACACCTTTCCTGACTTAAACCACGCAGTATCCCCTTGTTCTAGTGGAACAACTGCCTCTTGATCTATGTACAGGTTGCCTGTATAACTTTAAAAGTGTTTTACTTGTTATCAGCATCTGCAAGCCGCAGTTTATTTGTGATTCCAGCCACATGGTTTTTAAAAATCTGTGCCACCAACTCAGTGTCCTTTTTCCCTCATTTTTATGCTGATTTTTAGTGAGATCCCCGTCCGTCGGAAAGCCTCTGGTGTTGCCTCGCAGCTCCGCATCTTTTCTTTCCTTCTTTCTTGTATTGGGCTTTAGGTGAAAGTTTACAGCTCAGGTTAGTCTCTCATACAAAAATTTATACACACACTGTTACGTGACCCTAGTTGTCACCCCCATAATGTGACAGCACACTCCTCCTTTCCACTCCTGATTTCCCGTGTCCGTTCAACC